TGACCATAAGAACCAGAGGTTCCAAATAAGAAAAAAAATACTACAAACCTTCCTATACTTAATAGAGAGAGTGCTTCTTTATATTTTAGGACAAAGGAGATACATTTGAACAAAATGACCTTCCAGTTGCTAAATCAATAGAAAATGAGTAAGGACTGGTATATAATGCCCACTCTGAAGGAGATCATTTCATAGCACTTAGCTAGTTCATAATAACCTAGCATCCTTTCCTTCTTAAAAAAAAAACAAAAAAAAAAAACTCAAAGCAAAGAAACAACAACAACAAAAAAAAAGTGGAGCCTCTCACTGCAGTTAGCATCCAGAATGTTTTGTGCCAGTCTCTGCGTCAATTGGCAGCATTAAGCATGTCTCTGTTGGTATTTTCTTCAAAATAATATGATAGCTAAAAGAAAATGAGCTAATTCAATTCTCTCTTCTTTGTTAATTGTTAATTGTTAATCATTAGGGACCATCACTAAAACATACAGCTCAATTTCTGAATAGTCGTTGGTATATTGCCAACCCACTTCTGACCACTTCAACTCAGAACCTTCTCTTAAGCAGCAGATATAGCTAGCAATGTCTATGCGAACCTGCTGTTTCTAGTATTGGAATGCTTTAACCTCATCGTTTGTGATTATCATGTTTTGATGCAAAAACCTTACATTTTATTAAACATAAAATTCTAGTAATTCTGTTTTTCAGACACAAAAAGAAAGAAATTTTTGAAGATTTATTTATTTATTTGACAGAGAGAGACATCACAAGTAGTCAGAAAGGCAGGTAGAGAGGCAGACAGAGAGAGGGGGAAGCAGGCTCCCTGCCGAGCAGAGAGCCTGATGTGGGGCTCGATCCCAGGACCCTGAGACCATGACCTGAGTCAAAGACAGAGGCTTAACCCACTGAGCCACCCAGGCACCCCAAAAAGAAAATTTTTTTCCTTTTTTTTCTTTTTTCTTTAAGAGATTTATAACTCCTTGCTATGGACTGAATCGTTCCCGTACCTCCAAATTTCCTATGTTGAAGCCCTAACCCCCAATGTGGGCTATGGGTATTTGGAGACAAGGCCTATAAGGAGTAATAATGGTTAAATGAGGTCATGAAGGTGAAGTCCTAAGCTGATAGGATTCGTGTCCTTATAAAAAGATGTAGGGAGCAATCTCTCTCTCTCTTCACGATGCGAGGACACAGCAAGAAGGTAGTCATTTGCAAACCAGTAAAAGATCTCTCATGAAAAAACTGGCACCTTCATCTTTATCTTCTCTATAGAACTTGAAGAGAGACATGTCTCTAGTGGAAGTCCTGCAGTCTGTGCTGTTTTGTTACAGTAGCCTGAACAGACTAAGACCTCCCACCAGTCACTGTTCCTGCCACCTCGTCTAGGAAACCCAGTTTCCGCCATACTTCCCATCCTCTTTTCTTGCATTATTCTTATTATTAGCACATATTATCATCTAACTTACAATAAGTATATTTTACATTTATCCATTGATGTCCAGTTTTCCCTTGTTAGAATGTAAGCTCCATGAGGAGAGGGATTTTTGTTGTTCTTTATTCATTGCTAGATCTCTAAAACCTAGAAGCATGTGTTAGCTTCTGATCTTTGGAATGTCAACTTTTAAAATGCTGAAGAATATGGACCCTGGCCTAGACACTCAGAAGAGATTAACAACAACACATAAATGAAGAACCCAAACAAATAGAAAATGAGCATGGACCCATTAATGACAATCAGAACGTAACAGATGCAAGCCTGCAGAAAGGCTTGCATAGATGTTGTCTCGCAGCAGAAAGTGCCCTTATTAGTGGTCCATAAATGAAGGGATAATACCTTACCATTGATATTTTGTAAGAACAAATTACCAAGTGTAATGGATGCTTCCAAGAATTTTCAACACACCCTGGTCAGTGTAAAAAAGCAATATGTATTATTCGCTTTGCAGGAGAGTAAATACTTGGAAATAATGGATACAAATCTATTCAAGCATAATAGTTATTATATTTCAATTTATTTCCATGTAAATTGCTTGTTACATGCTGAGTTAGTACAAAGAATTACAAAAGAGATAATTGAATGCATTGAAAAATATAAAAAAATAAATGTGACATATTAGACTACATGATTTTTAACTAAAAATCTTTGGATTGTGAAGGCATCACTTAACTCCCTATTTGAAATCTGGCAACAAACTCACTGCCAAAAAGCATATGCTATATCAAATTAGATCATCATCCCACAGAATACAGAACATGCATTTTTAAGGCATATGTATATTCAACAACATACCAATATATTTTGGTAACCACTAAATGTCAAACGTTATCCATACAAGGTATTAACACATTAACGTTTTCATTAAAAAAGAAAGATCTCTTTCCTCATTACATTACACATTTATAGAATAGAGAACTGTCAAATAAATTACCACAAAGTAGTTCAAGCTAGACCTTATAACACTTGAATCATATAATCGGGGGCAAATAACCTTTAAAATGAAAGACAAATGGTAAAATTTAAGGGCATTTAATTTGCATAAACGTAATGTTAACAGTCTTTTCCTGGTTTCATATAATATGCTTAATTTATATATGTCACTCTATTAGGTCCTTAACACTCTTATAGGTCAGTTTTAATTTTTTCTAATTTTATTTTACCATAATAAGTAATATGGAAGTAGTTTATCATATATAAAAATAAGGTGAACTCATAAAAATAATTGAGCATGACTAGAAACATTCTAGCATCAAGACCATATTATAGTTCCTTTGTTAATGCTTGCTTTGAAATAAATATGTGTATTTTAGATTCTTGTGTGTTGAAAACTTATATTCAACTTTGGATTCTCAGAACTGAATTCCAAGGAATTCTTCCAGATTAACAGTCATTATGATTTTGTATGCAGAAAAAGACAGAACAAAGAGCTTTACATGGTGCGTGGTTTGGTCTTCCTTTACTTTGAAAATATTAACATTTGACACTCAAGTTCATGACCTCAAAGTTTTATCCATTAAACTTCTACATAAACACTGAAATGCATTCAAATACACTTGCTCAGACAATACTGTGTCACCTTTAACAATAAAATAGAACAAAGCATCCACTGATTAACTGTAGTGATTTCAAGGTCATCCATGACCTATAATCCCTAACAAATTATAAAATGCCAGCAGTGCATGATTTTAGCTCTAGGTCAAAGTTGGACAGCAAAATATCAGTTTATAAACAACAAATTATATTTTCTTTTCTTAACTTTCTTTGACTTATCTTTATGTGCCAACATCAATGGATTCTGGATGGTAAATTTTGCAATCATCCACTGATGGGATAATTTAAATGGATAAAACAGAGTGAAATTCCTTTCTCTAAAGAAATTTTACCTCCAACTATTACTTTCACTTATTCTTGGAACAATAAGCGATGAGAATGAAAGTTGTCCTCACTCATTTTAATCCAAATCAGTGATGAGAGGATTAAGGCTTCCTTTAGGACAAAAACATTTCTTTTTCTTTTTCTTTATGTCAACCAAAATTGAAATGGAAGGGGTAAGGTATGAGATTCAAAACATCTATTATTCCCCATCATTTTATTACATTGTCCTCCTATGACTTAATGTGAAAATTAAGGGCCATGTGAATGTTCACCACACATTTGCTAGGGACCTTTATATTACTTGGCAGGCATATTCTCATACAGATGCCCATAAAAATACTCAAATGACCAGTCTAAGTTTTGTTTTTCAACCTACTTTTCAAATTCAAGTACTTTAAAGTACTTGGTTTTTTGTTACACTGGTAATTTCAAGAATAGTTCTAATACCTTCAAACTGAAGCAGACCTACCTTTGAAAATGAGATTTCTTCATAAGCGTATCCAATTGCCTGATAAAAATATGAAACTGTGTAATTGTACATGATCAAAAATATATATACAAGCATGAAAACAATAATTTATACAGGTCATCCTGGCCTATGGAGCTTTTCAGTTATCCTACTGATTTGGTATTTTTACAGATAATTGCATATCTAAGTTCTACTCTGGCAAAATAAAAAGAAAAACATACAATAGAGACCTAAGTGGATAGAGAGATAAATGTATTATATTATATTGGCTGTTTCTCTGAAATAGGAAAGTCCTAAACTACTACAATTAATTGTATACTAGAATAGCACAAAGCTATTCTACTGGTGGTATTTATTTTCTCATCTAAAAATCACATTTGTGACAAAATATAAAATGTGCAACTTCCATATGCTCTGGCTCCAATGAAACCTAAGGTAAAAACAGAGACTTTTGGGATTTGGAATGCAGAATTTAGGACTAAGCATTTCCAATATTCAGAGTAACACAGACTACTATCAAGAACTTGGTTTCACTGGGACACTGGTTATCTTGAAAATAGTCTTGAAAACTTCCTTGCATGGAAAGACATGAAGAACAATGGTTTCTAGTTTGTCATTTGTTTTTGTTAGAGTTAATTTCTGTGAATTTCGTATCATACTGTAAAGAAACATTTAATCTTATTGATGTTTACTGGCTTGTTTTTTGGAGAGGAACATGGCACATTTGCTAAGTTGTTTTTATGTATTAGTTACAGATGATCCTGGATTTTTACAAATGTCTTGCAAATGTTCTAAATCTCTTATGCAAAGTGTTTCTCAGTTTTGCAAGTTTACTTACAACGAAACAGAAATAAAACACAAAATACTGTGGCAAAGGAAATAAATTCATGTTTACCTTTTAGTACACTAAAACTAAATGCATACCAATTTTTATAAAATAACTCTACAATAACCTACTAAGTAAATATGCTTACAAGCAAAGATTGGGAAAAATTGCTGGTGAATTCTCCACCCGTGGCTACATGGTCATTAAGTCACATCCTCCTTACAGTCGAGGTCATCTGCAGGATCTCAACAATAGAATAGGTTGTGCAAAATGCCAGAGTACGGCCTCTTCAGGGCAGTTGCTAAAGGCAAGAGCTGAACTGCAGCAAAAGGGTCTCAGACTTCACTGTGATCACTGAGTTTGCTCAAATTCTAAAATAGAAGAGGAAGAAATAAGCACATGTTCAACTCTTAAATTGGTACCATAATCAAAGAACAGTAGCAACTGATGCAAGCTGTCCAGCCAAGTTAAGCAGACAGACATTCTGTGAGGCATGAGAGTTTGGTGAGTATCTACCTCATAAGGTTGTGGCAAGTCTAATGAATTAATATAGGTAAAGCTCTTAGGATATTTCTGCAAGATAAGGAATACTCAATAAATGTCAGGTATATCATCATCATAATAATTGTTCTGTCATTGTTATCATTTTGTAAATATATGCTATTCTGACTGAATGTGATAGGGATGATTCTGGGAAGTGCCAAATGCTGTTCTAGGGATGGGAAAAGCAAAATGATTCAAAGTCAAAGAAAAATTGCAGGAAATCAAAGATCTAGGAACTGCTCTTTAACTAGAAAGCCCAGTATTTGGAGGATAAGTGTGATGCTTCACATCAGGGGAATGCTGGGCTCTGCAAATAATATTCCCAAGGATGCCAATATGAACTTAGAGGTAAGAGTATTAGAGCAGAAAAAGGCTATATAAGACTAAATCTAAAGTTTTAGTATTTGACAGAGGTGCATTCAAATTCCCAGGATAGTAGATCCTGGAAGAAGCATTTATTTTTACAAGCAAGCACTTTGCACTTAATGGGTGATCCCCAAATCCTCTAAGCCATGATATTGTTGGAGACCCAAATTATTAAACAGCGTTCATAACTGATCCAAGTTGGGAATGGAAACATCCTTTACTGCAGCAGAAGACTCTGAGAGGGGAATACAAAAAAAAAAAAAAAAAAAAAAAAAAAAAAGCAAAGCCCTGGATTCTACATTCTAATTTTTCTTATAACTCCTGCATGCCAACTTGCATGGCTCACCTTATTTGAGTAGATGTTACTTAGTGCAGCAGATACTGAATCAAAATAAATTGGTTTCTCTGAGTCTGGGTTTCCACAGTACTTCATTGCTTTTACCAAGGAAGCTACAAGAAAACACAAGTAATTTAAGGCTAGCTGGAGCGGCAGAAGGATCCTGTTCAATGTTAGTCAAGAATCCTCCCTTACCTGTGCAATGGGTTAACGAGACATCCACACTTCCGCTCTTACAGTCATTATAAACCTGGAGGAATGAAGATAGTATCTCATAATTAATACAGGAGAGCAGGCAGGGAAGAAAAAGATGGGCTTAAGAAGAAAGGAGAATTCCTAGTTAAAAACAAAAAAGCCAATGTGTCCGATGTCACACCACCAGAGGGAGACATTGCTACACAGTCGGGCACACCCAGGCACACTTCTAAAAGACAGCCTTAGCCAACACCATTAAGGCGGCAGGATATTCACCTTTCCAGCAACTAAATCCAGCTACTTAATAAATGAAACTTCATGTCATAAAAACTAAAACACCACATTCCCTTCCCTGTAAGAATACTAGAAAGTTGTTCTCAACCTTCTTTTCCTGGAAAAGTCAAGGACCCACTTATAAAAGTGATGAAAACTGTTGACCTCCTGATTAGTTTAATATTTTACAACAATTTGTGCATATTCGTGGACTCTCAAATCCCATCCATGGACGGTAAGCTGAGAACTAACAGAATCAAAGCCGAGTTTGATTGCCCAACCTCCCATTTTTTAAAGGCCATCAAGATGAGAGATGTTAACTAACGTGCTCGGTGTATTTTGGAGGCTTGCATCATTCAGGTCCTAGAAAACACCATGGAGGAACAACTTATTGAATGCCCAGACTTTAAATTCACCCAGACAGAAGTCAATCCATGAAACTCGGTGAAAATAAAATGAGAAGTTTTAGCAACAGTAGGATAGATTTGGTTATGTAATAGAGATGTATCTTACATACAAAATAGAGAAAGCATTTACAACACATTCTAAGAGTTTGCATGATACATTCAAAAATTTTCCCTTATATTTTTCCGGCAGTAAGTAGTTATATGGTAGAAGAATTGCAGAATAATAAGAGATGTGTCGCTCTGAGCATGAATAAATAAGCAAACAAACGAACAATACATGGGCTGAAACTTGGCCAAAATAAATGGCTCCTGTTTTTATAAAGTAAAAGGACTAATTCAAGGTGACTGGTCAGTGTTTGACTTTTTCCTCAAGCTCAGAAAGCTCAAACACATTGCTACAGGTGGTTTATTGATGTTGATAAACATAATCTCCAGTTCACTGACCTTCCCAGGGTCCTAAGTAGAAGAATAAACAGAAGTCATTCCATTTCCTCCAACCTAGAACTCACAGGGGCATGTTCCTAGCACTACAGTGACTAAGGAAATAAACGAGGAACTTTAGGAAGCAGGAAGACAGGCATGGCTCAAGACACCCTGGGGTTCTTACTCTAGACCCTCTTTCAGTGGCTGAAACTAAAACAATAGTATTATTTGCATTTTAAGAAATGACTTTTGCGGGGCACCTGGGTGGCTCAGTGGGTTAAGCCACTGCCTTCGGCTCAGGTCATGATCTCAGGGTCCTGGGATCAAGTCCCGCATCGGGCTCTCTGCTCAGCGGGGAGCCTGCTTCCCCCTCGCTCTCTGCCTGCCTCTCTGCCTACTTGTGATCTCTCTCTCTGTCACATAAAAAAATTAAAAAATTTAAAAAGATTAAAAAAAAAAGAAATGACTTTTGCAAAATGAAAACAAATAATAAAAGCTAGAATTACTGAGCACTTAATAACTTCTAAAAACTTTGTTGTGTGCTTTCTTTGCAATGTATCACTGTAAAGCTTCACAACTTGATGAAGCAGGTATGTCTACTTTCAGCTTACAGAAAAGTAAATATGTTAGCCCAGATCATGAAACTCGTTATATGGCTAATACTCGGAGCCAGGGTTTATCTATCTTTAAAGCCAATGTTCTTAATATACATCATAATTTACTGTAATCATAATGAAATAAACCAAACAGAAATAAAGAAATTAAAAAGGGCAAACTGACACAAAGCCGCTGGTGTCCTATATACAGACAGGAAACACTAGGCCAAGAGCAAATGTTATTTTTTGCTAATCTAAAAATAAAATGCATTAGCTGATTTATCTCATAATTCCATTGTGCAGTATTTTAAAACCATGAAGATGAATGGAAAAAACAAAAACCAAGGGTGCCTGGGTGGCTCAGTGGGTTAAGCCACTGCCTTCGGCTCAGGTCATAATCTCAGGGTCCTGGGATCGAGCCCTGCATCCGGCTCTTTGCTCAGTGGGGAGCCTGTTTCCTTCTCTCTCTCTCTGCCTGCCTCTCTGCCTGCTTGTGATCTTTCTCTGTCAAATAAATAAATAAAATCTTAAAAAAAGAAAAAAACTCTTTCTCAACATGCCTAGTACCTGAGTTGTTTGGATTCCTCTGAATTTTCAACTTTAGATCTTAACCTTAGTGGGGATAGGTAACTGTTTCCTCCTGTTTACTAACTCTAATACTGATTTGTAATCTCTAGAGAGGGGTGCTGATAAACATTTGAGCATATTCAAAATATATTTAAAATACAATTAAACCAAAACTGTACATCCTGGTCTTTCCCAGTAAAGGGACAATCCTAATCTAGTGTTTCCCAGAATGTGATCTTATTGCCTTATTGCCTTATTGCCACTTGCCTCAGAATCACCTGTGGTTGTTTAAATAAAGATTCCTGGACCAAAACTAGGACCCAGACAACCACGTGGACGACAAGCAACCCAGGTGAGCCCTTCTGCACAACCACTGGAGAGCACTCTTCTAGACCCTGGTGACACAGAGGAAACAGAAAGGCCGAACAGCCAAGAACCATCTGTCTACAGTCCAGATTTGGATGCAAGAAAACATGACGTATTCAGGTTGAACTATGCCAAATTGTGCAGTTTTTATAGTGAAAGAAACAAGAAAATGAAAGCATATTATATGGGGGGAAAAAGGGTGACATACCAAAAACAGCCACTAGATTTAAGTCTAGGATATATTTAAAACTCAACCATTTTTACATGATTTTCTTTCTAAATATCTACTCATACTGAGACAAAATCCTCCCCTCATTTTTACGAGGGGCATAAACAGCGACCCACGGGGCTTAGTGATATCCCTCATGCCTCACAGATAGTGGGATAGTACTAGGACCACACCCCGACTGTCACACACTACCCATATTCTCACCCTTTGTTCATAGGAAAGCGATACAGAAGTTGGCCTTTGCACTGTGTTTCTTGTCTTTTTTTTTGGTGTGTGTGTGTTTTGTTTTTTTGTTTTTGTTTTTGTTTTTTTGACTTTGCACTTTCTTAAATCTGGAAGTCTGGACATTTCAATTTTATATTTATAAATGGATAGAGGCACAGTTATGCAACACCACAGAAAACAACCAACACCCATAATGTGAAACTGTCCAAAAACTACTGATCTTAACTCTTTAAAGCTCTAGTTCCAATTTCTACATCTTGCCCTGATGAGTAACTAACGAGACTATCCCAAACTCCATAAAAGTAGACAACCAAACAAAAACATACGAACAACTGTTTTCAGATAGTGGGAACAGGGAGCACAGGACTGAGTGCCCTGAGGGAAAGAAGACAGATGAGAGAAGCTCCCTAGGAGTTCAGCTTTCTGCACAAAGCAGCTTCTGGGCCAGAGAATGATGGATGCCTGAGTAAAATGTGAGAGCTTCACTGAGCTGAGCAGACAGAAGTAGAGTTCAGGAAGGATTAGGTGGGCGGAATCAGTGGGAGAGAGTAATGGAAATGAGGGAGATAAGCAGAGAAAGAGCTCCAGAAATGTTCATATGATTTTGATTAAGTTTTTGGCAGAATACAAAATTACCCATGACTATGAGGCAGGGTAAAGAGCCCATGGGGAGCAGATACCCAGAGACAGGTAGGCCGAGCTCCATGCAGCAGAAGCTGGTAGAGGACTGAGGACAGTTGAGGAACAGATGTAGCTCCATCCTCAAGACCCTTCCCCAACAAATTCAAGACACTGAGGGAGAGAACAAATGGAGAAAGGAGGTAACTTCCCCTGTTGGCATAGTATTTAGTAAAAAAAAAAAAAAAAAAAAAAAAAAGGATGTCTGGGTGGCTTAGTAGGTTAAGCATCTGCCTTCAGCTCAGGTCATGTTCCAGGGTCCTAGGATCGAGTCCTGCATGGGGCATCTTGCTCAGCTGGAAGCCTGCTTCTCCCTCTGCCTGCCACTCCCCGTGCTTGTGGGTGCTCTCTCTCTGACGCATAATCAAATAAAATCTTTTTTTAAAAAAGCAGAGGAAGAAAATTCCAGAAGTGTCTGAGTTTTCCTTGAATTGGAAAAATTCGGTGTTGTTCTTCCTGTGGAAATGTCTTGTGACCCATGTTCATTTTAAGGAAATAATCAGTTTTATATTTTGCACACCAGGGCCATGGAGACACCATGAAGATCACAGGGTAGAGAAGTGAACACTATCATCTGACAGAATGGAGAAAAGCTCCCGTACTGGGGACTGTTTGAGAGATCAGATAAGGTATCTGGTGAAACTACACCCATCCATGAGGATGAGAGAAAAGATCCTGCCATGACCAGGGCCACTTTCTCATGGAGGGGACTTTTCTTTTCAGAAGCTTGTAAGCTGACTGCCCAGCAGGCACTATGCCCACTACATCTCAAGCCTGTGTTCTGTTTTCTCTGATCACCCCATGTGATTACCCCCACCGCTGGCCCCCTCACATACACACACCGGAAGCTTGATGGGATCTCCTGAAGTCAACTCTATGGCAGTGTGAAGCGTCAAGTTCTATGTCCTTTGGGGAAAATGGGTGAGACGAGCACTGAAACAAGTGGAGTCAAAACCCTGGGGCTGTGAGAGTAGCCCTGTTACTACAGAAAAGGGAAAGAATCAGTCCAAACACAAGCTATGTAAATACCTCAACAAGCATGGAGACTCCAGAATAGTCAAAAAAAGTCACTCCACTGCAATCCAGGATTAAAAAGCACTTCTCACTTGGACCGGGCTGGGACGCTTCCTCTGCAGGAGAAACAGAGACTCGAGTTAGGGAGAATTCTCAGAGATGTCTGCTGCAGGCTGTGCTGAATGTGGATGTGTAACAGCCACCTCATGTTTAACAAGACTGATTCCAAACACTCTTCAGTTTTTATGTTTTTCACTTAATTACAGATTACTTCTGAACTCTTTAACATTTAATTACTCAAATGTGACTTCAGGTACTTATTACGTAACTCAGAGAGGAAGATTGGATGGGTTAATTACCTCTCATTTCACAGAGAGACAAGCTGAAACTCAGCCATCATTTTAAACGGTTTGAAAGAACACGGGCAAGTCCTCTCCAAAGAAAGACTGGAATCGAGGCCTCCAGGCATCCTGAGTAGTACTCCTTCCACACTATCATACCATTTCCTTCATGGGTATGCCCAGAGGTAGAGCCCTGCTTTGTGGTGTCCAAAGCTAATATAGTTTGGGGGTCACATTTTAAGGAAAAGATTCATCATTGGGGCTTATCTCTTGGGCATGGAAGGGATTTATAAGAGAGACCCTAAAAAACGAAGCTTTCTTTGTTCACAGTAAATCAGCCTCTGAATGTACCTGAGGGAGAAAAATTTACTCAGGACATCATGGATCCTGACCTCTCATTTGCTGATATCTTCACCACCATGGTTTCCTCATGTGACATGGTTTCAGACAGGCCATGTCTAAAGTCCCTCTAAAGAGTGATATGGCTCTCAGAACAGACCATGTAAAGTTGGTAGGCAAAATCTATCAAATAAATTCCAGGTCATTAGTGATTATGAAATTCTCTGAAGAAATAAATTCTTAATTGGACTAGTTTTGCTATTTAAAATACCCATGATTTTCATCTATAGTGGCTACAAAACCATGGGAATATTATTGTTTCTCAGTTAGCATTGGAGGGAAGTATAAGGGAAATTATCTATTTTTTTAATACTGCTGCTTAAAGGTAAAAAGAGGTGGGTGGAAAATATAGAACAAACACTGAACATTTACTTTTCACAGTAACTACTAGCAAAAAGAGAACTGCCACACAGTGATTTTAATGTATTTGAAAAGTGGTATTCAGGTATAAGATTTGTTTCCAAGTTTCACCTTTAGATCTATACTTATATTTATTACTTGAAATAATAAGTATCGAGCAGGTACTCCATTCAGGGAAACTTTTTGAATATAGTTGCTCAAATGTAGTTCAAACTACAAGGTTTCAACATGGTAGAGGGTAATACAAGTCAAATACTATCCCTTTCTTCTAGAAGCTCATCCTTGAGTGCCAAGAATAAGATTGGTATATAAATGACATGATAAATGAAGATGAATGGACATTTACAAAAAGGATAAGTCTGTGGAGTGATCACTCAAGGCTTCGGGCAAAGTAGACTTGTAGGATGTGTATGATTCCAAAAAGGAGAAATGATGCACTGTGAGTATTCCATATGGACAGCTGTAACTGAACACTAATGATAGTTTGAGATTTCAAATTCCTCTTCACTCAACCAGCATATATTGAGGACCTACTGTGTGCTAGGCACTCCAGCAGGCCTTCTGTTTTCCTATTTCTCCCACAGAAAGGAGGGCTAAGGAGTAAGTGTAGGTTTAGGCTATGCTTCCATTGGCCCAAAACAGCAAATTAGGACTTTAAAAAAAATTGGGAGTAACCATAACTGAGATCATCCACTGACCACTCAGTAGTAATCACTCTCATTCACTATTTGCCTCATTAAATATGGAACCTACCTCCACTAATGCAAAGACTCTTATTTATATCCTCAGATATAATGTGCCCTGCTCACTATCAGAGATAAGAGAGGATCTCCTGAAAGATCACAGGAAAAAGAAAAATACGTATCTGAAGCAAAGGTAAATGGTGGCATGCTGACTGGCCTTTATTCCTTCTATCTCTCAGTCCCATAAATACACACACACACACACACACACACACACACACACACACATATTTATACACACATACACACATATATACACACATAAGTTGGTACTATAATAATTGCTGTATATATACTGTTACTTTATTTTGCTTAGAATTACAGAGGATGAATCACTACATCGATGTCAAAAGAGCTTCTAAGACATTTGGCTCATTATTTGATCCATGATATGTATTTCCTTGAGTATTTTTTAAGATTCATAAGCACACTTTTATCCAATTCAAACATTTTGTTGAATTTTCAGAGTATAAAAATTTCCCTCTAATGATTAAATTACCAGATAAGCTTTCTTACAAATGTTCGATAATTCATGATATCCATATATAAAATGTATACAATAGATTAGACATTTTCTCACAAAGTTAGACATAAAAAGTTTTAGTAAGACTAATGTTTGCAATGTACCATGGAATTCAATACTTAAATGGTTTCTATGAAGATACTTTCAAATATACCTGTCTTAGCAATAAAATTTATGTGATTTCTTTAAAGGCAGTACTGGGTTGAGGCCAGCTCATACCAGCTCTCTTGACATCTCTTCAGTATGTCAATTGTGTACATATCTTCTCAACTCCAAGATTAAGGACAGCCTGTTGGTAGTTTGGAATCAGTCATGGTAGAAATATTTACACCATGGAAATGGGCAAATACTACACATCAGTTCTACTCCACCAACTTACCTCGTGCCCCCTGTTCCAAGAGTTTCTTGTTATGTACCAGCACTTCACTGTTTAAAGGTGGAGATGCTTATTAAATATATGGAATGCAATCAGTAGTTTTTAAAAATCCAGTGGCTTTAACTAAATACCTTTTTTTAAAGATTTTATTTATTTGACAGAGAGAGAGATCACGAGTAGGCAGAGAGGCAGGCAGAGAGAGAGGGGGAAGCAGGCTCCCCACTGAGCAGAGAGCCTGATGTAGGGCTCGATCCCAGAACCCTGAGATCATGACCTGAGCCGAAGGCAGAAGAGGTTTAACCCACTGAGCCACCCAGGTGCCCCACTAATACATTTCTTAAACCACTTCCATCTTTAGCAAGAAATCTTAAAATGACAATGATGACAAAATTTGATATCAGAATCTCTATAGCCTATTTTCCATCCATTTATGGCACCATTATTAACAAATGACATATGTCTTTTACAAAACAGTTTATATTTCAAAATAAGCTACAATTTAAATTCTTAGTTCAAAAAATTCTTTGGAAAAAATTATCATTAGTATTTAATCCCAAAAATTAAAAATATGAATTTTTCCGAGAACTTTTTCATTATTATTTACTTACTAAAAAACATATATGAATTTTTCTGAGAACTTTTTCATTATTATTTACTTACTAAAAAACATAACTGTCATTGGTACTATCTACAAGAGAAGCTTGGAAAAAAGTAACTATAATCTAAAAAAATACCAGAATTGTTTTATTTAGAAATGTCAAAAGAATGTCAAAGCATTGCTTTTTCTGAAAGAAGCCACATAAATTATTATCTATAATTATTACACTATGGCATAAGTTCTATCATACCCATTCCTCAGCCAGACAGAAATGACTGATCAATCACGGTGCTTTTTCCACTGAGGTCAAAGATCTTAGAATTTTTATCAACTCCCTGCTTCAGGAAGCCACTAGTAGTTCACAAGAAATGTATCTGTCAATCTGAACTCAATACTACTGTGAAAAAAAAACAATCTATTTAGATATTATTTAGAGGGATTGATCACTGGATCTAAATGACCAGAAAATGGTGGTAAAACATACAGAAAATTCTTTAAGAAACAATTTTTTCTTCTTCCCTAACCCATCACACTTACTTCACTTATAAATTGCACTTGTCATTCTCTATATTTTCTCATGGTTATTTCATAATTTAAGTGGTGATAGGCTGTTAAGTATAAAAATGTTTGGGTTTTTCCACTAATAGTACAAAACTTTCCCTTCTGTCGTCTCAGTGGGCTTGCTTTGTCTTTCCTCCAGTTTCCTCTTTCTTGTTCCCCTCATCAAAATACGGCATTTTTTCAGACCATTCAAAATGAAAGAAAATAACGTAAAACAAAAGAATTGTGCCATGTAGTTGTAGGTTATTATTTAAGTAAGCTATTTTAAGAGAAGTAATTCATGATGCCTTTTCCAAATAAAAAAGACATCTTTAGTGGTAAAGTTACCAATTCACTCAAATGAAAATTTAAAGACAATGGACACTTCTGAAATCTTTCCACAAATAAGTGAAGTTTTCTTTTACACACGACCCTCTGAGTTCTGCCATTGTACTGGTTTTATGGCTATAACCTTGTGTTTTAAGTTTCTAAGTAAATCAACCAGTGCAATAAAAATCACATCATCATAGAAAAAAGGAAAGTGAATTCACAGCTAATATCCTACCTTAAGCAAAATGAGGTAAGCTTGGAGCATGTGCAAAGGAGACAACTAATCTATACCCATGTGGAATGTGGTAAATGATGGGCTTTATCTACAAAAACCAACATTTCAGAAAGAAATTAACCATCAGGTGTGGGTGGGCAATTAACTCCAGACTGTGGAAGCTAGCTCTTTCCTGTAGAATATTCATTAACTCCTTTAATTAAAAAGTATTCATAGCTGCATAATTTAGGAGTGCTTTTCATATACTTCAAAAGGTTCTTGACAGTCTGTGAGTCACTCATAATTTTTTAAGAGAAGGAATTTTCTGTTGATATCAATTAACTATTGAGAAGCAGATTTACATCTCTAATTTCTCAAGAAAACAGGGAACTATGAAATATTTAGGACAAACCACAACATTCTCTTTGGAAAACATGTGCACATATTATCAAGCATCTCATTTGTTCATTCATTCATTCAAGCAGTCAGTCAATATGGGCGTATTCAGGGCTCTGAATGCTGTCCTAAGTAAGGCAAGTAGAATGGTGAACAAGAGAGATGATGTTCTCTGCCCTCAATAGGCTCACAACAAAGCCAGCAAACCAGTTGACTGAATTAGTAATCTGAAATATTCTGAAGGCTGGAAAAAAATATGCACAAAGAGCTAAGGAGATATAAGAGTGACCCGGTATGGGGGATAGAATAATGACCCCAAAGATGTCCACATCTTAATTCCAAGACCTGTAAATAGGTTGTTATATGGCAAAAAGAATTCTGTGGATTTGATTAAGTTAAGCACCTTAAGATAGAGACATTATCTTAGATTATCCAGGAGGGGGTCCAATGTAATCACAGGGGTCCTTATGAGAGGAAGATGGGAGGGTGGGAATCAGAGAAGAGGTGGAGGCAGAAGAAGAGGTCAAAGAGAAATCTGATGATGCCACCATACTGCTGGTTTGAAGAAGGAGGAAGGGGCCAGGAGTCACAGAATGCACATGGCTTCTAGAATTTGGGAAAAGCGAGGAAATAAATGGATTTTCTTCTAGAGCCTCCAGGAAGAATATAATCCTGCCAAAACTTTGATTTTCTCCTGTGTGATTCATTTGAGCCTCTGTCCTCTAAAACCATAAGATAATATATGTGTGTTGTTTTAAGCAATTATGTCTGTAGTGATTTTTACAGTAGCAAGAGGAAACCAATATACCTGGGTTGCTGGTTTGGGGAGTGAGGAGTGGTGTTGAGGGCATGGAAATTGTTTTAGACAAATTGTAGGGTCTGTGATAGCAGAAATCATGCCTACTTTCATCAGCCTTGAGCCTACAGCACCTACCATGGTGCCCAGAACCTAGTAGATGTTGAGTGAATACAAACTCAAATTCAGTTTGCCGAGGAAACAGGACAGGAAACAATGGATGCAGGAATGAAGAGAACAGAACATGTGAGTGGAGATGTGGGGCATGAATAAGAGTTGAGTGGGTGAGAGGGGGGTGGAGGTACAGCTGGCCAACCAGAAGCCTAAGAGAGACGTGTGCAGGAGTGCCTCTTGGGAATGGCATAACGTGACTATAATGTATTGGGGACACAACCTCCCCAAATGGAATGATAATGGAATATTTCTTCACATTTGAACAATTTTTGCTTTTATTCAGACAAATATGATGACTGCCATCTTATCATTTATATAGCTTGTTTCATATATTCAATCATGTACTCATGTACTCAACTACAAATCTTCCCCGTCTGTGAAAATTATTGTGGGGGGTATAGATTTTTTTATTCTCTTCTCTGTTTCCCACTCCCTTGCTCAGCTATGTCTCCCTTGGATTTAGTTACTTCCAGATCTATTTGGTGTTCCCCCTAAACCTGCTGCACGACTCTTGGATGACCTCCCAGCATCTTTGATTCACCACCCTCCGAAGTAAATTTATCTTCCCTTTTTCTCCCTCAGGTTCCAGGTCATCCTAGTGTAAGAGGTTCAAAGCTTCAGAATCAAATCATTGTTTGTTTTGCCCTCTCACCTCCTCCGACACCCAAACAGCACCATCTGTGTTCACAACATGCTGAAATCTCTTTCGAGTTCATCCTCTCCCTCCATTTTCATAGCCTTGTACCCAAAGCAGAGGTATTAACGGTGCTTGTCTCCCTGCCGGCTGCTTTCAGACCAAGCTCTCCTGTCCCAGCTTTGAGCATCTCTTTCTGTATGCCTGTCCGACTGCAACAGGGACCCATGTTCTGCCTCTATTCCTATCTAACTGCACAATTCAGAGCAAGTAAATCAGCCCCTGTGGCCCCAACTTCTTCATCAGTAAAAGAAGAGTATTCTAACACCTATTTGAAAACGGAAGTACAGTATTTACTTATTACCTATTTCAGAGTTATCAAGAATGTCTTCTGAAAACCTTCCAGTGCTGTACAAATATCATCTATCATTATAATTTTCATTCATTGACTAAGTGTTCATTCGACAACGAAAGATAATGCAGTGAGAATTCAAAATGCATTTCTTGCCTTAAAACTCTAGTTAGAAGGAAAAGATGCAGAAAAAGAACAACCTATAACCATATAAGACATTATGTGACTGAGTGAAGCATGTGGTATCTCTGTTTTGCTACTACTATGATCTCCAACTCACAGCTGAAGATACTGAACTCCACGCACGCTGGCAGTATGCTCCCCTGTACGGGTCTGGTTGACTTCTTTTTCTGCCTAATGGGATTGCCAAGTAGTGTGTCCTTCAATTTACTTTACTTCTCTATTAAATCTTGAAGATAGTATAAGGTTTGAATTAGCAGATAGAGGAGATGGTTCTATTCAGGAGAATCTAAACACAGGCTCAGAGCCAGGGAAGACTGAATTAGATACAGGGACCATGAACTGATTTATCTGACATGAATGGAGGACTTGTATAATGTGGAATAAAAGGGAAAGCAGTTCAAGAAGAGAAGGAAGAGCTTTAGGTGCCATGCTGAGGAGCAGAGGGCACTTGATTCTCAAAAGGGAAACTTTATGATGAATCATAAGACAAATTTTTTTTAAGATTTTTAAAAAATTTATTCATCTGAGAGAGATACAGAGACAGAGACAGAGAGAGCACAAGCAGGGGGAGAGGCAGAGGGAGAGGGAGAAGCAGACTCCCTGCTGACCTGGGAGCCTGACATGGGACTGGATCCCAGGACCCTGCGATCATGACCTGAGCGGAAGGCAGACACTTCACAGTCTGAGCCACCGAGGCGCCCCCTTAAGACAGATTTTAAAGTAGCAGTGATTTAAGATTAATCTGTCATTACATCAGAGAACAGAGTACGGGTAGGATGGCAACTGCATCTCACCTTGCGTGTCAATACCAACCATCTTCAGTAGCTTCCTACAGCCCTGGGTTGAGAAGACTCTCGGGCTCACCCCCCCACCTCTACCCCCACCCCCTCCACCCACCCACCTCACCCCCCACCCCTGCTCATAGGACAAAGTGCCTTGATCTACTAGTTCTACTAGTTCTACTAGTTCTGTCTGGGGTGAGCATAGGACACTGGATATTTTCTATCCATGGATTAAAGCCAAGGATATCTCATAGCAGAAAAAAAAAAAAAAAAACCCACTCATTCACTTTACACATGATTAAGGACAGAATCAGAGTCGCAGAAGTGAAAATGCAAAGTTAATAAAACCAAGAGTTATAGGTTTTAGTAATTAAATGGAAGAAAAAAATCAAGAACATGTACAGTAGACGTACCGTTAGCATTTAAGCACAGGGAGGGGAGAGTAGGTTGGTGTTTCTGAACAAGAAGGAGAGATGATAAGACCGGGGGGTTTCAAAAGAGGGAGAGGAGGAAGATACTGGAAGAAACATTCTTTCTATTAGTTCTAGTATCAACTAGTTCTGACTTCCACAGAAGGGACCCAGCAAAGGTGATGGCACCCATCAGCTACTGTTCTGTGAAAAGTGGGCCTGGGCTAGTGAGACAGAGGGGAGGACACCCTTAAAAAGTTTCCAGATAAGCAGGAGACTAAGACATTCAAGAAGTGATCATTGAGTCAGTATTATACCAGTATTATGCAAACATTCTTTGAGAGCATAAAGCAGAAGAAAATCAATTTGCCACAAAAAGTCAGAAAAAAACAGAGAAGATGGCATCTGAGCTACACCCATGTTGATATGGGTCAATGCTGTTGATTCATCCATGTATTTATATAACATTTATTTTATTCTATTCTATATGTTATATATTCATTCAGAATATATTTTATACAGTAATGTAAGTATTACAATATGTTATCCTCTTATATAAACATTCTATGTGTTCTTTATCTATTATACTATTAATTTATAAAGATTATTATAAAATCATACAAAATTATAAAGATATTTCAGTTGTCTCCAGATTTGGGGGAATCTAAATTTTTATTTTGTTTACCACTGTTAGGATTTTGATTCACCTAGTAGAGATTTGGTGGTATGGTGTGTGAATTACAATGAATAATTTCATTCATTGTAGACACATGTCTCATCATTGTATATTATTAGCAAGACTGTCCTTTCCTCACTGCTCTGCGGTGCCAGTTTGTCCCAAATTGAACACTAGTATGTGGGGGATCTTTCTCCCCTTCTGAGGCCCCTACTTTGTCCTACTGATCTGTTTATTTATCTTGGAACCAATTTCATAGTGCATTGATTATGAGAGCATTATAATATATCTTGACAGTTAAGAAAACATTCTTTCCCCCTTGTTCACATATTTCAAGAGCGTCTTGGTCTATTCTTGGTCTTTAGAATTTTTATACAAAATTTAGAATAAGCCTGTCCATTGCCATTAAAATGCCCCATTGGAATTTTAATAAGGATTAAATTTATGTTTATAAATCAATTCAACATAAATAAAAATGACACCTTTTCAATATTGAGTATTCTAACCAATGGACATTGCAATTCCCTTCCATTTATTTCTAAGTACCATTTACTTAAGTGTTGCAAGTATTTTTTTGTTGTTGCAAGTATTTTTAACACCTTGTAATAAAGTTTTACAATTCATCCTGTGTAGGTCAACCCATCTTTACTTAAATTTAATTCTAAAAATGAGTAGTGGGTAAGATGGAGGAGAAGGAAGGGAAGGAGAAGGAGGAGTGAGGGAAGGGAGAGAAGACAGAGAAGGAAGGAGGAAGAGAGAAGTAGAAATAGGAGGAGGACTGGGGAGAGAGGCAGAACAAGGAAAGGAGAAGGAGATGGAGGGAGGGAGTGGAGGTGGAGCAGAGAGAGAAGGAAGATGAGTACAGTAGAGGGAGGCAGAATGGCAGGAGAAGGAAAGAGGACTCTGGTTTATATTCAAGACAGGACACTTGGATTTTTTTTTTTTTTTAAGCTAACTCACCATTGCAGTTGCAGTTGGATAGAGAATTGAGCAATGTGTTTTGTTCACACTGAAATGAAAATGAAAATGAATATAAATAACGTTATAAAAATTTACTTCTGTCCCTGAGAACAGCACATTTTTCTTTTCTCCATAAATAATAAAAAATTAGGCTCTAAATATTATTTTTCACCAGTCCTTTTTTTTAGAGTGATAAATAACCTTGAAATAATCAACACCTTGAAATAATGAAGTGACCATTGGTTGTAAGTATTTACTAGCTCAGGAATTAACGTACATTACCAAGTCAGACTATCTTGTTTAGAACATTTTCTGCAAGATTGTTTGTTTTGACTTTTGATCAGGAATTAAAAATCTGCATCTCTTTTCATGTAATGTATCCAATCAGAAATTAACCTCATTAACACAACATTCTTTAGAGAGAACCACTGACCATATATTTCATATTACATGAAAGTGAACAGTTCACCTGCAGCTCCAAGAAAATGTCTGAGAAACAGTCCCGATTTATGGAAATGCTGAAAAATGAAAATAACTCTGCATCCTACAATTAAAGTTCTTTGAAAGTGACACTAATTGATGCCTCTAATGAAATCACATGCTATCTACTTCTCAAATGTTGTTGATGATGATGATGATGATAGTAATTGAAATTTTTGACTACCTGCTATATACCAAGGACTCTATATTAATTATTTGATCCTCAGAAAAATCCCATGAAGTTACTAATCTCATTTTCCATAAGAGGGAGCTAAAGATTGGAAAGGTTAAATAACTTGACCAAAGTCACAAAGCTGGTAAGAACCTTGGCTAAAACCAAAGCTCATGCTTTTCCATTCAGAACCTCACACTCTCCAGCACTACGCTATACCACTTCTCCGAGACATCCCATCAGTTTCATCTTAAAGGCTGAGTAGAGAACATCTATTTTCTCTTCCTGATACGCAATGCTACAGCTGACATACTTTAATTCTGGCTCTGACAGTTGTCGGCTGTATTTCTACCAGGTAATTTTACATTTCTAAGTCTCAATCTTCGTTTTTTTTGTAGCATTCCAGTAATACCACTTATATCACGGGGCTGGTGGTGATTGTTAGCCTAGTTAAAGGTACCAGTTCTTGAGAGACTTTCAGTGAATGTGAGTTTCTTTTCCTTCCTCTTATTTTTAACCTTGTCTGAAATCTGTGCAAAAAAATTTCCAATAATTTATGTAGACACTCCACCTTCAAGAAGGTGAAGCCCATCTCCACAATCTTCACGTTTGGGCTGCTACACCCTGATCTTATCATGATCAATTCTAATAGAAGGATATTCTACAAAATGCCTGACCAGTACTACTTAAAACTGTCAAGGTCAACAAAAAAGAAAAGTCTGGGACACTGTCACAGTGAAGCAGCATCTAAGGAGACAAGACAACTAAATAAAATGTGATATCCTAGATGGAATCCTGGAACAGAAAAAGGACAGTCGGTAAAACTAAAGAAATCTGAGTAAAACATGAACTTTAGTTAATGATAATGCATCATTGATTGTGACAAGTATGTCATACTAACCCAAGATATTAATAACAGCAAAAACTATATGGTGCAGGGTGTATAGGGACTCTCTACTAACACTTTTCAATTTTTTTTTTGTATGTCTAAAGCTGTTACAAAAAATAAAGTCTATTTAAAAAAAATACCTGGTCTGAGCAAAAGAAAATTTTGGATAAACAGCAAATTGAAACTTCCTTTGCAAAGTGAGCTCACAAACTGGTGACTATTACATGAGTTTCTATATATAACCTATATAATAATGACCATGAATCTAATAAACACTAGGACGCTGAGATCCTCCTAAGTTTCTACATTCAGGAAGATATTTAATGATGACATATAGGAAATATATTGTCATAGTATGACAAAACAGGAAATCCTTTATCAGTTTGTGTTTTGAATACAGTATGATTCTTCTTGCCCTAAGGTGTTTTAAATGCCCTCCCATCACCGCCATCTGTTGAAAATGAGGCTAGGAGAGAAGACCAAGACCCCAGCAGAGTACCCCAGTTTAAGACAGAACTGTGGACCCCTGTATAGAGTGCAGCAAAAGGAGGCAAATCTGTAGTAGAAATTAACTGATGCTGTCTCGTTACATTAAAACTGAAACTGGAACAAGCACAGGCCTTAAAACAAGAAGTAGATACCCCAGACAGTGTATGATTAGAATAATATGAGATGTCCCAAAGAACATCTGTGCTACTCAAGACCATCCGTTTAACCATTCTGAATAAAGGTTTATCCCTGATTCCTCAAATAGCAGAGCTTCCAGATTACCATGTGCATCCTTAGCGTATCCTTTAAACTCACACAGTCTGTTAATACAGAATATTTGCATTATTCTCATTACAGTGAAACATACTCTCAAGAAATCCTTTCTTACCACCACAGAGTTCTGAGTTAAAGAATCCCTTTGGATGTCATTATGTACCAATAACTTAGATTCCATGAACTCTACTTGATTATTAGACTCAAATTTCTTAAGTCCCAAGTAGGTAAAATCATGTATGTGGAAGCTCTTCCCAGAAGGCTGCATTAATGAGGTTTATTTCTGACTTCATATGCTACGAGATAAACCATATGCCAACTTTCAATTTCTGAAAACACATTGGAACAACCTTTGTCTTTCAGGAAAATATTCAAAGGAAAATACTATCAACTACCAATAAATAACTGGTTATAAGAATATTTATGTCGGATACTCTACTAGTCATGATAAAGCCTACAAAGGAGCATATCATTCCAAGAAGTAAATTTACATTTTGGTAAAATAAGACTACATGTTTCTTATGGGTTAATTAGGTTATTTGGAACTGTGGACAAATTTCCCCACAATATTTTCATGTATGGTGGTTGTGAACTTACATCAGCCACAAGAACCTGCCTATCTCATAATAGAGCTAAACATTGCTATGAAGTAAGCATGGCTTTATAAAAGAAAGAGGCCTTGTATCCAACTTGAACAACTAGGAATGATGTCCATCTTAGGCATGAGTGCAAGTTCTTCTCAACCCAAAATCACAGGTAGGGTTCCTAGTAATCTGATGAAAATGACATACTAAAGAGTAGAGTGAGAGGAAAAGACAGAGCTGGAGATATGCAGGCTGAGCCAGTCTCATAGGCTTGAAACCTGTGTGCTCATACAGGGTCCCATTCTTAGAAGGGTCTCCTACTTGATTTAATGCTCTGTGAATGCCATCTTGAAACTCAATAATTATTGAACAAGGGACCTCACATTTTCACTTTGCACCGTGCCCAGCATATAATATATTTGATCCTGTGTTTGGGACCTCTGTGGGGTAGATCAGACTGAGGCCCAGAAGCAGAAAGCTGCAAGGATCAGGAATGTGTTACTAGACAGCTTCTGCAATGCTAGAAATGGGAGAGTCAATACTTCCTAGGTACCAGAGTGACGGGATAATATACACTCAAGGACACAAGAGAAAGAGACTTGTGTAATCTGAAGTAGTCAAGGAAAAGCTTCATGGAGAGGGTACTACTTGTGCTCAAACTAATAATATTAGTTAAAATTTTATAGTATTGAGTAGGCCAGACTCTATTCTGAGTGACTTGTATATATTAACTCATTTAATCATCCTGATTATAGATCAGGAAACTGAATCACAGAAGGTTTAATAACTCAGTTAATTTCCCACAGCTCATCAATGTTAACCTAGACAGCTTCGCTCCAAAGTCCATGCTTAAGGGCTTAAGGATTCAAATAATCACAGATAGCTTATTTACATATAATCAAGCTGATGCACATTTGATATCTGTTAATGAAGATAACTTGTGCAGATAAAGAATGCTAGTTTTTTATAATAATATTACAACAGTAATATTATTATAAAATATTATATATTTTATAATATATAATGGCATATTATATATTAAATAATATGGCAACAGTTAACACATCACTGAAGTCATTTATCATATTCTATCTCTTTAAGATTTGGATCTGACTCTTCTTTCTCTTGGTAAAAATGTCCTTTAGGGTAAGTAATGTGTTTATTTATTCTTCTCAGGGCTATAGTAACTAGTACACATGTCCACTAGATATATGCTGAGGGAAGGAATGAGTGGATGAATGAGAGCAATTACCTAAAAACTAACTACAAGAACCAAATGAAAAGTTTAATACAACAGAAGGCTTTGCTGAGGGAGAGGTCTCCAAACACTCTTATAATGTGTTATATTTCAAGATTCATATCTTAGTATCATGATATAAGGTTATTTGTAGTACATTATTGTAATCATGAGCTAGCTGATCCTACCTTGCTGACATCATCCAGTAGCTGGTTGCTCACATTTTCTTTTTGGATTATGGTCATTATATCAGTATGAAACTTCTTTGCATTCAGGAAAACAAGAGGGTTGTTTATTGAGACAATTTTCACCTGCTGCAGGGTTTCCTTTTGGAGGAGAACAGGAATAAATTCAGAATTCTGAATGAAATAAGAGGATAACTCTATCCAAAGAATCTAAATCTTATAAATCCAAATATCACTCAATGATGGAAGCAATTTCTTAGCCAAGGTTGTCATTATTATAACTTATTTAGAGAAATTATATTATCATGCTTCTTAGGAAAAACATGTACTTCCTCTTTACTAAAAAGCATTAATAACTATGAGATGATCCTGCATCTTTTCAGAAAATGGCCCTTATTCCTATTGATTTGAGGAAAGCAACACCCTAGGATATCCAAAGAGTATCAGGAAGCCCTGTCTTCCCAAAAGCACCTCTTCCATATAATCTAGAAATCAAAATTTCATTCACCTGACCATCAGGTTTTTTTAATGAAAATCTTCCTAAAGGGTTAACTCTCAGTCATTTACCTCATAAAGACATAGCTTTCTTTTGGCTGGAATTATAACCTTACAAGCTTCAGTAGTCCTAACTAGAAGAAAGAAACCAAGAGGAAGTATGGGGAATTTGGTTTCACTTGGGGCAGGCCTGGGTTACACCAGACTACCAGGATGCAAGTAAGAGATGCAGGAAAGGAGATTAAAAAGCTTCCAAACAAAAAGTGCTCTCCATGATCTTTGAGGCAGGGGTCTGACCTAGAAATCAAGAAGCAGGTTAAGTTCTATGAAATAACTCCTTACCAATTAAATAAAGAGATACTCCTTCAGGCTTTAGTACTTGCACAGAAGAGGAAACCCAGGGAATAGAGAAGCATACAGTCAGAGAAAGAAAGAAAATATTAGGTGTTACTCTTCAGCTTCCTCATCTTCTAAGTAGGTACATTTTTAAACCACATAGTCTTAAAACATTTCTATGGCTACACAACTGATTAAACTCTAGAAAGTGAGATTTGCTACAAATAAACTATTCCAGAAAGCAAAAACCTTACATTATCAGATTAACTTTCAATCAAGAGTAAACCTCTTACAGAGAAAGACAAATCAAGAAGCAGACTATTAATTATAGAGAAGAAACCGATGGCTACCAGAGGGAAGGAGGATAAGGGGTTGGGTTAAATAGGTGACTGGGATTAAGAAGGGCACCTGTGATGAGCACCAGATGATGTTGGAACGGGTGAATCACTATATTGTAGACCTGAAACTAATATAACATTGTGCGTTAACTCACTGGAACTAAAAAAAAAAAAAACTTTCTTAAAAAGAGTAAATCTCTTACAAACCAAAAATAAAACAATTCCTGGGCCTGTAATACTCAGTTATCACGAAGCCCCTGTATCAGGAACACCTGGGTGGCTCAGTTGGCTAAGTGTCTGCCTTTGGCTCAGGTCATGATCCCAGGGGCCTGGGATCAAGACCAGCATTGGGCTCCCCATTCAACAGAGAGCCTGCTTTTCCCCCTACCTCTGGTGCTCCCTCCTGCTTATTCACTCCCTCTCTTTCTCTCTGTCAAATAAATAAAATCTTTGGGGGAAAAAAAAAGCCCCACATTGAAGATCAACCCACCAATCATACCACATGATTGGGCCAATATGCTGCTTTAAGTTAACTTTTTTAAAAACGGGTATTTGCTTAGGAATAAAGATTCAAATTGTGTTAGAAAAGAAATTCTAAATGGGGTTGAGTTCACTCCAAAAGAGGTCTCCCCCAAGTCAAGGACATTTGTTTCATATGAAGAGGTGGGAGAGCATGAACAGAGGAAGGGAGTGGTGGACCATTGCCATGCTTGAAGTTGGCTAAAAACTCCACCTAAACAGTTCATGTTCAAATCTCACTCTGAGAAAGTCAATTATCATATGGTTTCACTTACTTGTGCAACGTAAGGAATAACATGGAGGACATTAGGAGAAGGAAAGGAAAAGTGAATTGGGGGAAATAGGAGGGGGAGATGAACCATGAAGGACTGTGGACTCTGAGAAACAAACTGAGGGTTTTGGGGGGGATGGGTGAGCCTGGTGGTCGGTATTAAGGTGGGCACGTATTACATGGAGCACTGGGTGTTGTACATAAACAATGAATCTTGGAACACTGCATCAAAAACTAATGATGTATTTTATGGTGACTAACATAACACAATTAAAAAAAAAAACAAATTTTTCTCTGAGCTTTCTTTCCCTCTTATTTTTAATACAAAATATTAAATAATTAGTGAAGATAATATTCCAAGAAAATTAACATTTCCATGTGACACAGTTATTATTCAGGTATGTGACTATACTGGAACCAATGTTTAAAGATGTGTGAATTTTGGCATTTTTATCTTCCTACAAATCCTCTCATTCACTTGCCCGTATGTTTAACCTGGAAAGAAGGAACAGATTAGACAGAACTTATTCTTCTGCATAATCTTTAAGCTGAAAAATGGTCAAACTGGAATTCTATTTCCAAGCTACAAATGTCAAGGGTAATGTGCATAGCTGTAGAGTAGGATACACAGAGTAGAGTGTAGAGTGGATACACAGAGGCTTCTAGGGGCCCAAGAGCCAGTCTAGGACTTTGTGTGAGCACTAAATTCTCATGGAAAATTTAAAGAAAGAAAAGAAAGGCATCACTGGTGGAAAACTACTTGAGCCTGGGACACTCTTAGGGCTCTGGACTCTAATAGCTCTCTATGAAGCAAACTTTTTCACACTTATTAAAAACACAAGCCATAATGTATATAAATACTGAATCGTTATGTTATATACCTGAATCTAATACAATAGTATATGCTAATTATTCTTCAATTTACACACACACACACACACACACACGTGCATGTTCATGTGTAAACATGTGAGCCATTTCCCTGCATGTCACAGAAGGACTCCTGGTGCTACTTCCTACTTCCGGTCTACTCAGAAATACCCTGACAATAGGTCCTTCTTGTGGAATGCCAGTTCTTTTTGTTCTGAAGACAATCATGAGGTACCAAAACAAGAAAATAAGATAAATAGAGGCGGGGGGCGGGGGAACAACGGTTAGTCAAACATTTACAAAGCAGGTTCAAAGTGTGGACAATTTTTTTAAATTGGCAAAATATTTAAGTCAACATCTTTCCCCTCACCTTAAACTTGTTTTGGCCATCCTTCAGAATATATAAGTTATATAAGAATAGAATTCAAACACAATTGGCCTGCTCAAACATGCTCAGGCAAGACTATTTCCATAAGCTGTTTCCTTAAAAAAGATGTCCACTGCACAAGAAACCAATTCTATTAGCATTCCATAACCATTGGACTTAATTACCCTCTGCTAATAATGCAATCTAATTGTGTTTAAAAAAAATAAAGCAATACCATGATCCAACCTTGCTTTATTCTATTCTTTATTCCCTATCTTCTTCCATAATTTAATTCAGAATAGACTATTTATCTAGTTTGACTATTTTATGCAACTTAGCAAATGGAAGAGGTTTCCAAATGTCTGAACTAATCTGGACAAAGATTCCACTGTGAACTGTAGTTCTATGACTATCATCTCAGCGGAATGCTAACACAAGATTTTTTTTGTTGTTCTGTTGATTTTTTGCATGTCAACTGCCATGTGTATGGTGGTCACAGATACCATGGAAAGTTCATGCCAATTTAAAATAAAATTATCATGAATTTAAAATCATCATCTACTTAAAATCCATTATCTACTTATGATACCTTAAAACTATCTGAACTACAGAAATTTTTAATAATTACACAAAGGAAAAGAAAAAGAAACTTACACCATCCATTTCTGTCTTCACTTTCAATTCCATTTCTTTCATGTTTTTTATACTCAGAGTCTTTGCCCTAAAATTCAGTCAGATAAAAATAAAATGGCATTTCTGAATCACTACATTAGTAATGAAAATGTAAAAAGGATGTCATTTTATTTTAACAAATAGAACTTATCTGTAATGGTTAAAATCCTACATCCCATTTGTTCATAAAACATTGGTAAATCTATATTTCTCTGGGATCCTCAGGAATAGAGAGTAACACTGGAGACATCTAGGTAGAGATTAACCAATATAATTTACCTCATCTGGGTTCCCAGAACCCCATATGTCCAAGCCACAAGAGGTAGATTGACCAAAAGGGTAATAAGAGAGTGGATAGTGTTTGGGAAAATCTTGTTTTAGGGGAAAAAGAAGTAAAGAGGGAATGAGTGGCAAGATAGGACCAGATACTAATGAATTTACACAGATTTCTACAGAAATCTCTTTATAGAATCTATAGAGGTAAAACTCAAAATGTTTTTGAAGTATATTATTTCACAAAGAATTTCAAGGGAAGGATGAGAAATGAGTAGAAGCATTATCAGGTGATGAACACTCAAAGTAGAAAAATAACTGGCCAAAATAGGGGAATGGTTTACAGATGTTCAGTAGAAATCTTCAATAAATTATCTAGAGCTCTTCAATAAATTATCTAACTTATCTTTAATAAATTATCTAGTTCTTCAATAAATGATTATGTATATTATATATATATTTATGTATATTATATATATATATAAATCTGGCTTCTGAAAAATTTACTGAAGTTATTCAATTTTCTAAATGATTAAATTTTATGTAGTCACTGCATAATATATCACCTTCACTTGATTAAAAAAAAAAACAGCTCTGCGGCACAGTGTATGGGTATGGGTTAATTTATTTACTTTGATAGATTTTATGTTTCACTTTATAGTGTGGACAAGATAAGTTTCTTCATTAAGACCAAAATTGTCATATATTGTATGTAGAGAAACCTTTTCCTTTCATCTCTAATTCTCTGATACCAACTAAAACATGACCATAGCACTCAATATTCCACAGTAATAAAAGTAACTGGCAATATCATTGACTTTGCTGCTGTGTCAAAATAGACAGCATTTAAGTAAGATCTTACCTTGGGAAGCGACCGATAACGATAGCTATGGTACAGACCACACCGAACAGCAGCCCCACGTTGGCAGCAAAGCATATTGTAAATACATATGTACTGACCCAGATGCCCTGAAAGAGAAGGAGGAAATAGGAGATACAAACCTTTTAGTAATTTCTCATCTTTCTCATGATCGCTAAATTCCTCACAATCTTATTCTACAACATTCCTGTGACCAAATCTCTCCGCAAGAATATATTATTTAAAAAGGGGTAAACAGAAGCCTGGGACAGAGAGACGAATCCTGGTCCCATCAGACTCCCAGCAGCAAAAGTGGGGAAAAGACACATTCTTTCATTTCTAGAAACTGCCAGCCCCTACTAGTTCAATCCCCAACAACACTTCCTTTCAGATCTGTAAATATTTGGTTGATGTGTATGGTTCAAAAGCATGCCATAATTTCCCACTGTTTTCTCATTTAATGTAATATTACAAGCAATTGTTAGCAGATTTTTGGTCATTCCCCACAATGCCTGTGTTCTAAGATTGTTATACAAAGAACTAATGTAGTTTATTACTACATAAGACCCTCAAAGCCTAACAGTTAAAATGATTAAATCTAACACTACCAAGGACACTTTTAGATCAGCCACTATAAAGATTGTTATAACTTTATTTGCAAGGGGCGACTTCTTATGACATTATGAAAGCTGAAAATTCTGAGCCAATTTAGGCCTTGGGAATATTTCAAAAGATGGCAAGAAAATTATTTTTCTCCTTTAGTTGGGATTCCAACATTATTCAACATTATTACAGTTTTGTCCACCTCCTGAAATGACAATCTATCACAAAATATTGTATTATAGTTGACATTTCTAAGTTTATTGTTGGCAAAAAAAAAAAATCTTTAAAAGCAAAATAATTTATGAAATCCAGGAGGTTATATTTCCTAAACACAATATCCTGCATTCATCAAATAGTAGACCAACAAAATGTTCAAGCTCTCTCTTTTCCCTAAATTATTTGCATCACTTTTACCTATGCATATAATTCTAAAGTTAATTTCTTTCTGTCCAGATGGCTATATTAGAACTTTAAAACATCTTCAACAACCTAATTCAATTTCATATGCAAATGAAAAAGTTAGAAACTTCTCTATAATCTGAAGATAGCACAGATTTTTGTGGGGCGGAGTGAGACAAGTTTAAAGCAAATGTTTCTAAATAGCATTTTTTACTCAAAATGCTTCTCCTTTGTATTATTTAACTAAATGGAGCTTGAGTGGTTCTTTGTGATGGGCTATTTAGAAAAGCCAAGCCCTTGAAAGCAAATGGAGGGATTTTTATCTATAAAATTCTTTTTGATATAGAAGAAACAAACATTCTGAAGTAAAGAGAGAAAATATATTTTGAGTTTTCTCATGTTCAGATCCATCACCAAGAAATGTAATGCTAAGTTAGGACTTATTATGACATCATCCTCAGCCTGTCATCTCATAGGTTAGACATTGAGATGTTTTTCCTCTATTCAGGCAAAAAGACAATCATTTGAGTCTTTTATATGTATACAGTGTAATTTTCCCCCCAAATGAATTACATTATGCTTCATCACATACAAAATAAGGCTGCAAGTTTTTGATCATTACTTCAACTTGCCATGATTGCTTTGTTTCTTACTCATCACTTAATGCCGACTGAACCCGCCTGGGTGTGGCAGAATAAGATTTTACCCGAAAGCTTTATAAGTCCAATTCCTTATGGCCAACCTCCATGATTCAATATAGCAGAGGGAACTGAGGATCCTGGTTCCTGCCATTTAAAAAAGCCACAGAGCCCAGAGGCCATGATTCATCAGAGCAACCAAAAATTTTGGTACCATCTGGTTCTATTTTTAAAGCACATTTACTCTCCCACAATATCATCTATTGTAAGTTGGGTTCACAATGCTTAGTTATTTCCTGGGGCTACATTTATAGCTTTGAAAAAAATACCAAATGTAAATTAACAACATAGCCAGTATAGAGTTCCATTTTTAGCATAAGTCCCATCACTATTCTATAACAATATCTATTAAAGATGCAAATGTTTGTTGTCACAGCTATAAGGGATTAGTTAACTCCCAGCCTCCTATTTTTTTCATTATGTGTTCCCACTTGATCCCTCCTCTATTAGCACTCACAGCCCCTAAACACAAGCTAACTCCAAAGCTGACCTGAAGTAGGAAATACATAAACACATAAACCCTTATACATTTGAGCAGCTACTCAATCACTTCACCTCTTCTTGATCTGTTCTGGTGATTGATATACATTATTATATTTCTGTAGATGTGAATTCTATTCCCATGTTCAGTTACTCAAACTCAGCTCTGAGCCCATGGTCTCCATTTTGGATTCCTATTTCCTCATTACCTCAGAGAGGGTTTTGATCTACAGCTCAAAGTGGAATCCATTATTCAACATAAACAATTTAAAGTAATAAAAATTTCTGACTTTTCATGTGAGGACTGCTTACATGATTTTCTTAAACTTTCAAAAAAGTCTGTGCAATAGTCTCACTATAAATGCTATGCCCAGATTGTATCCCAATCATCAATGGCTTCTCACTGTTAAATTCCTTAGCAACTAAAAAATACCTGTCCACTTCAACCTTGTATATAATCCTTAATTCTGAGATCAAAAGGACACATCACTCTCATAGAAACTTGATGCTGGGTGTTCAACCACAAGAAATATTCTGATAATATTACCAAACCTCATGGCAAGGAAGAACTTCACTGAACATCCATGCAGAAAAACTAATTCACATAAAATACAAAAAAAAAAAAAAATCATGTTAACTTGTGATTTCTCTGTCTTATCCCTCAATACCTGCAGATAGCGCCAGGTCTAAAAAGTCGCGTGGGAAAGCATTTGAGACTCATCACCTTTTGATGATGTCTCACTGCCCTCAGAATGAAGTCTAGTCTTCTTTGCACAACATTAGCAGCCTTTCCAAGTCCAACTCATTCTTAAGTTTTGCAACCCCATCTGTCACTACTCCCACCCTCACACTAGATGTTCTACCCATCATTTCCTGGAAAAAGCCTTCCCTGACATCACTCCCCTTCCAATATGGTAATGTGCTCCCTCTTATGTAATTAATGCATTCCTTAGAAATACCTTTATCATAGGGTTATCAAATAGCTTGTTCAGTAAGTCTGCATCCTCTAATTTCTCTATATCCATGTGCTATCTCAAACATATCACCTTTAAAAAGTCATGATCCTCCATGAGTCTGGCTAATTTTAATCCTTTGGCCTGCCTATCAAATACTGTTCCTTCAAGTCTCAGTTCACATTTCAGCTGTCAGACTCTTTCATTTGGACCAGTCCAAATTAAATGCTCCAGCCTCCATTTTTCCCCCCAGAACTAAACTTGTACTTTTGCTTCCAGGTCATATTGTATCATGCTTTGCATAATAAGTTGATGTTTCTATGTCTGCTTCTACACAAATATTCTGGAATATATATAAGTGAATATAAGTGTCTGGAGGAGACAAATAGTTCTTTATTTATCTCTGAATTCCCCATGGCACCCAGCCTTGTACTTTGGTAGAGTAATACTGAGCCTTGGGAGATATATTATGAAAATAGGCACCAGAACAAATAATCCCCCCAAAGTCTCTCTGAGCAAAGAATCTAAAGGAGGGGAAATATATAGACTACTGCATTTCAATATGGTGAATGCCATGATAAAGCTAAATAAAGGGTACTTATGAAATACTTCACCTATATTGGAAATGTAAAGTATTTTGTATGCTCCTGCATAGATACATTTCTCTAGAATATGTATGTTAAACATTTCTGTTAGTAAAAGCCACACTTGATCATTGATCAGTAATATTTAATCTCTTGCTGGCAACATCCTATTAACATAACACTCCTCCCAATGTAACCCCTTTAAAATTAAGTTCGTGAGACTATATTTAGAAGGAATATGGTCACTGTTAAGATGTTCAACCTATATTAATGCAACACATTTCTTAGCAATTAATGATATTTTTTCATATGTGTTCTATTAGTGTGTGCTTCCTTGATGAGCTTCATTTCCAGAATCAATTCAAAATGGAAACTGAGCATCCCTAATTCAAATTAGTTAGCATTTCATTAAAAGTTCTCAAACAACACATCAATCAAAATTTGACAAAATTCCATTTCTGTTTTTATATACCTCAAATAAATGAATATTTTCTATTTTACAGCCTATATATTTACAAAAATAGTTTACTTTCTATATTTTAATGACTTTATTAAGAACTTAGAAAATAAATGGTAGCTTATGAAGTGTACAAGTTTCAAATGGCCAAAACTATTTTCTGCAAATAAAAATATTACAGTTGATTTTGCAGTGCATGTTAAAGCCAAAGAAGGAAATTTTAGGTCAAATTTCTACTTACCCAATCAATTTTATCCACATTCCAATATTTTTTTAAGTCTCGAAACTGTATTAGCATTCCCTTCAGTCCCACAACAATAATACTTGCAAGAACACACTACAAATAGGAAATAAGTTGATGAAGAAATAAGATAAAGATTTTAATCTGAATTTAAAAAGACCAAGGAATTTTTATGCCTTTGTTTTTAAAGTCCTTACTAGAGAAAAGCAATCACCATTTAGAAGACTAAAGCAATATTCATTTTGTTTAGAACTAACCTATTATTGTACTTTAGGAATATAATATCAATTCTAGAAAATCACAGTATAAAATTTATGCCATTGTAAAACATAAGAAAGAAAGAAAAGAAAAGTAATGAATTATAAGGGTGCATGTTATAAAACCAAATGTCCTCTTAACTTTAATTAGCCACTGCCGTTTGAAGTTTGTTGCAAAAAAATTAAATATTTATATTATATATTTCTTTATAATTGCCTTCAGCACCAATGATCTGGTATCACATATGGATATTTATAACTCTCTTGAAAAGTGAACTTGATTATTAGAAGATCTGCTGTGGAAATGATTGATACTCACTATATGAATGAAGAATTAGAACAAGACAGGAATGAGATGATGTCTGGCTCTCTGAAGACCAGGATCTTAAGATCACTTCGGTGCCCCAGACTTATGAAAAGCACAGTGGTGCTCTGGGTCACTTTGTATAAAGATATCAAGGGTGGCAAGATGTATTTTGTTCCTTACTCCCTTGCCCTACACACATTTTTCTAACAGTCCGAGTTCTGATAAAATTCTCCCAAAGTCTGTGCCTTACACCAGAGATTGCCCAGTTCTGCCCTCCAAACAAGCACAGAATAAATCTAATTCCACAATGCCATTTTAACACATAAGCCGAAGAAACAGAAAACAGCCATGGTTTCTTCCCATTCTTCCCCCATCAAATGTGGTCTCTGTCCAACCCCCCCCATTCAATCATTACTTCTGTCACATGGTTTTCAGATGTAGAGCCATTGAGACTACTCTTCTAAGACATTTTAATATACAATGATTTCATTAAAAGTAAAGTTAAAAAGTAGATAATGAAAAAGTACTACTGTACCATGGGCAGCCAGTAAAGCAAGGGTCCTACCGCGTAGATGACTATCAGGACAAGAATGCAAGATATTAAACAAGCCACCTGTAAAAAACAGGACAGATGAAGAAGAAAGCTTTGAACTTTATTATTCCAAAGTCATGGGGGGAAATAAAATTCTTAGTTCATCTTGATTCTAAGAGACCAAATGTTGGAGCATGATTGTTAAATTGCATAGACTCCCATTATCTATAGTTTGCAGCTGAGGGAACCCAAACATGACAGCTGACAAAGTGTTGCAATCAAATTAAGTCAGTGATGGGAGAAAAGCAATTCCACACAAAGAAATAGGACACCATCAACTTTTATCACACATCATAGCAATGGCTTTTTTTTTTAATAGTGAAAGTGACATTTCAATTAAAAGTCCGTTAGCCTGTTGTTGTTCAGCTTGACTCTCTCCATTTCCTAGCGAGTTGTTTGAATAATAACTGAATATGCAGCTTAGGGTTTTTCTCCGTTGATGGTAAATTTCCACTGAAGCATTTACTCTTTGGAGTTCTTTGTTAAAAAGGGTTCTAGTATGAAGCGGTTATGCGGGATTATAGGAGTCTCTGCAATCAAGTAGACTTAACTTTATTAATCCTGAAGAGTCATTAGTATCAGGTTCCAACCAACTCAACCTGCTGACAAAAGGCAATTCAGAACACCTGATTCCTAGCTATGCTCCACTTGATGGAGAACCTGATTCCACATAAACAAATGTGCATAACTTAGTAAAAACATTTAGCTAAATTGTCAGCCTAATGAGAGAAAAGAGGTTCATAGGACCACAAAGATGCCCAGAATATCATTAAGGAGATAGCAAGAGAATCGGGATCTAGTAGGATGGCTAAAATCAGAAATAAAATTATAAACCATCAATCAATATTAAGGATTGACATGGACTCAAAGCAACTAGAGCTGCCAGACATTGCTGGTGGGGATGTAGTATAGTACAACCACTTTGAAAGGAGTTTGACAATTTCTTATATAGTAATGCATACACCCACATGTGTCCCAGAACTACCTAAGAGAAATGAAAACACATGCCCATGCAAATACCTATATGTGAATATTTATATCAGCTTTATTCATAAACACTGAAAACTATAACTTAAATGTCCATCCCTTGGTGAACAGATAAGCAAATTGTGGTACATCCACACAACAGAATATTACTCAGCAATAAAATAAAAGAACAGACTACTAATATATGCAACAGTATGGATGAAACTCAAAACCATTAAGCTGAGTGAAAGTAGGCACAGTTTCATTTCATATTTAGTGGAACTCATCTCCAGCACTCCCCAGCATATAAAGAGGAAAAATAATTCTTCTGTGGGAAACAAATCATTACGGAACCAAAATCACTCATAAAACAAGTCATAGTACACCTAACCATTACAGTGATCTTTTAGGAATAACTGGTTATTTTAAAGGAGAATTTTTAAACAACAAAATATGTCTGACATTCCAGTAGGCTAGAGAAAGGCCGGTGTCAGAGAACAGCAGATCATAGGATTTATGCAGATAGCTCAGTAAGTGAAGTATGTTTATGGAAAGAAAATGGTACCAAATGCAAAGGAAAGAAAAGGGTACCAAATGACAAAAGATAATGAATGGCTTGCGCCCCTGTTGTGAGACTCTTCACTCAATACACTTACAGCGTACTTGAAAATAAAACTCTTAATCTTAGTTGCAGATATGAACTTTGGACAGCTACAATGTAAACTCCTTTGGAAGGGTTTGAGGCACAAGGAGGCAAAGTGACTAGTCCAAGGTCTTAGAACCTGGGAGCTAGAAGGCATATGGATTATGAGCCAAATTGGGATCCATAAAACTAAATGTATTTTAAGGTTCTTAAATATCTTATAATACACTGAAGCTGTTATAGAAATTACAATCAAAGTAAATAATTTTATTTAAAAACACTAAATTACAACTACCTTTGGGCTTTTCTCTAATATTTAACTGACCTTTAGTTTACCTGATGCTTTGTAGGTATGTCAACAATTACGTACTCACTGAATTACAATTTCAATCATTGCCGAAATAAGTCAAGAGCTAAATGGATGTTATTTCCAAAGGTGAAAAAAATATTATTTATGATACCTTCGATGGTAGGTCATTTAATGAAATAGATCATATAAACAAATTGCTTAACTCCTTCAATGCACTTGCCTCATCCCTGTTGATACCCTAGCTCAAAATATATGTAATTGCACAAGAAATTTTTATCAGTTCTGCCCAGAGTATCTACTCCTTGGGCATAGAAATCAATAATATAATAGTTTCTGCCCTCAAAGCTCTCAAAATACTGACATTCATTGTGCCCCCAATCAAGACCCCCAGATGCTGAAGTATAGATTTGTAAAAATTCTTTGAGGTCATGCAGTCCAAGTCATCATTCGTAGATGGATGGCCAACTCAGCAACTGTACAAGAGGTTGAACAGAGATCAGATATTTGCAGTGCTATCACAGACTTCTCTAACTTAAGGTTTCTGGAATAACACAGTTGAGCTATATTTTCAAGTATTACCCAGTTTCTGAATATCTGTTACTCTGCGTATGAAATGCTGCTTTTTATATATCTCTGATCTACCAAGAGAAACATTTTAAAGGTAGGTTGCTACCAAAACCAAAGAGAATCTTGTTCCCTTTTTTTTTTTAAGATTTATTTATTTATTTGAGAAAGAGTGAGAGAGAGATTGGTGGGGGATGAAGGGTGATGCACAGGGAGAGAGAGAAAAAGAAAGAGAATCTCAAGCAGACTCTCTGCTAAGTGCAGACCATGATGCAGGGCTCCATCTCATGAACCTGAGATCAGGACCCAAGCCAAAACCAAGTTGGACACTTAACCAACTATACCACCCAGGCACACTACCCCCCTACACCCCGTTACTTTTTTTCAAACCTCAGAAAACAAATGCCACTGAAGTGCCTTCTTAATAAGTTTCAGGTTGACCTCTGTTGTTAACCAGTAATGAAAAGTGTTCTCACCCCTAGTGATGCACAGAGCAAACAATCTAGGTATTTTACTCTTCTTCAACTCTTTCCATGTCATACTTACCAAATGGCTAGAGACAATTTTTTTTTTTTGCTCTAAAATCTAATTACTCATATTGAGTTAATTCTGCATAAAGGATAATGGAATCTATATTTTCTTCTTGTTACATTATTGTATGTATTGTATATGTTATAGGTTGCTTACAAAGATGACTGCAGGCATTCATGTTACCCATACCTATATAGATGGCTGAAGGAAGGGTAAGATGCCAGCCATTTCCTTCCTAAATAGTTGTTAAAGAATGCAAAGTCGGTCAAGAGCTCACTGTATGCACAGCAAAGTGGTGGAATGGCAAAAGTGATGGGAAAGGGCAGCAGGAGAGAGAGGATACTGGGTAACTAAGGCTAGATTTTAAAAGTTTTAAAGAAGTTGGAAGCAATTAGCCAAATTTAAAAGAATAAAAGAATATAGTTTGGCAAATTGGAACCTAGAGGCAACATCAGTGTTGCAGAAAAACATGCCAGCTGTCGTTTCCGGCTGTGACCAAGCTTCGCCTACAGCAGATGCTGCCTCTCATCCCTCATGGTTCAGTTATGCCTCCTGTACTGCCTGCAGAGCACCAGTGTATCTACTCTGCTGGAAGCAAGAGGAAACACAGGGGAGAGAGCCAGGGCATACTGTGCTCCCTCCCATGATGACCAGTCCTCAGAGGGAAGGCTGGAAGGAGGACCTGTAACACCGCTTTGTGCTGTATGCCTAGGCAGCACCAAGACTTTCTTATTCCTACATATCCATGCTCAGCATGTCACATTTTAAGGCAATCAGTGTTAAAAGGGTTTCTATGTGTGGAGGACAGAAATGTATTGGCCTTTTGGGTGCTTGGCTGGTCAGTTGGTTAAGCTTCTGGACTCTTGATTTCTGCTTGGGTCATGGCCTCAGAGTCCTGGGATCGAGCCCCACTAGTGGGATCCATGCTCAGCAGGGAGTCTGCTTGAGATTTTCTCTCCCTCTGTCCCTCCCCAACCCCACTCTCTCTTGCTTGTTGGCTTGCTCTCTCTCTCAAATAAATAAATAAAATCTTTAAAAAAAAAAAAAAAAGAGCAGGAAGGGCAAGATGGCAGAGAAGTAGGAGACCCTGTTTCAACCAGTCCCCTGAAGTAAGCTAAATATCTACCAGAACACTCTGAACACACATGAAATAAGCCTGAGAAGTAAGATTAAACACTTCTGGATCTCTGTGGGGACAGGAGATCATCCATGGAGAGTTATACATCCCTCAATCACCTCTCACCAAAATAACTAGGAGGAGAGCACCCAACAGAGGAAAAATTCAGAGACTGTGACCTCTGCCACAGAACTACTGGATATGGACATAAACAATATGTTAGAAATGGAATTCAGGGTAAAAATTGTCCAGGCAATGGCTAGGTTGGAGAAGACCATTAGTGGCAGCATAGAATCTCTAAGGGAGGAAGTAAGAGCTGATCTGACATAAGTAAAAAATGCTATCAATGAAATCCAATCTAATCTAAATACTCTAACAGCTAGGGTAACTGAGGCAGAAGACCGAATTAGACAAGGAAGACTAGAAGACAAACTGACAGAAAAGCAGGATCAGGAGGAGGCCTGTAACAACTTAGAAGCCATGAAAACAGAATTCGGGAAATAAATGATGCCATGAAACATTCCAATGTCAGAATTATTGGGATCCCTGAGGGGGTGGAAAAAGAGAGAAGACTAGAAGATATAGTTGAACAAATACTGGATGAAAATTTCCCTAATCTGGGGAATGGAACAAGTGTTTGTGACCTGGAGACAGAAAGGCACCCCCTCCCCAAGATCAATGAGTCGAGAAAGACATCCAGACACTTCATTGTGAAATTCATGAATCATAATTTCAGACAAGATGTCTTAAGGGCAGGTAGGGGGAAGAGATTCCTTACGTACAGAGGAAGGACCATCAGAATAATGTCAGACCTGTCCACAGAAACCTGGCAAGCCAGAAGGGCTGGCAAGGCATATTCAGAACACAAATGAGAAGAACATGCAGCCAAG